TCAGTCTGTTTGCCCAAACCATTTTAGAACCAGAACAGCCAAACCTGACAGCTCAGTCTGTTTGCCCAAACCATTTTAGAACCAGAACACCCAAACCTGACAGCTCAGTCTGTTTGCCCAAACCATTTTAGAACCAAAACACCCAAACCTGACAGCTCAGTCTGTTTGCCCAAACCATTCCTGGGATCCACTGAGCCTCCTGCAGGTTCACTCAAGGAGTTAAACCCAACCTGCTCTGAAAAGCAGCCAGGACTGAGGCAGAGCAGAGGGGAAAGGCACTGAATTAACATTAGGGGCTGTTGAGATGCACTTCAGACAACTCAGCCCACATCCTGTTGTTCTGCCTGAAGCAGAATTCTCAGCCCAGACAAAAAGCTGCTCTCAAAGTGAACTTTCAGAGGATCCAGGGCTGGTGTGAGCACAGCAGGACGGGAGGGAGAGTGCCCAGAAAATGGAACGACAAGAAAACCCAGCGGTTTTCCAGTCAAGCAGTGTCTGTGTCCAAGAACACAACGAGGAGCTGACACGTCCCACCAGGCCCCAGAGAGGGGGAAAGCTGGCCAGGGTGTCCAGGAAGATTCCCAAGATTTCCCCTGAGAAGCAGCAGCCCGGAGGCAGCTGGAAGTGCTGCAGCAGTCAGGCTGGGGATGGATGGGATGTGACTGCAGTGCCACCTCCACAGCAGCTCCAGGCTGGAGGTGATGGGATCTGGGATGACTCTGGGATGAAGGCAATCTGCTTTTAGAGCTGGCCAGGCAGCACAGCAGCTCCTGCAGTCACCCTGATGTCAAAGGAAGTGGGGAAGAACAAATGAAAATGACAACTTCAGTCTGAGCAAAACCCTCCTGCGGGTGGTTTTTGTTGGGTTGGGTTTTGTTTGGTTGGTTTTTCCCTGAGAAAGCCTTTGCTGAGGAAACTTTTCATTAGGTTTAACAAACTTTGGTTTTTCAGTAAGGGCACAAACCCATTTCACTCAGGGGAGCACAATAATGGCCTGTGAAACCCCAGCCCAACAATAATTGTATTTCCTGTTGTGAGCAACACCCTCAGCAGGGTTTTAGTGGCTCTTCCCAACTTCTTCAAGATAATCAGAAGCAAAATGAGAGAATGAACAACAACAACAAAAAAAATTATTTCCTGGAAGAGAAAGCAAAATCTTCATCAATACTGATGATAAATAAACAGGCCACAAGTTGTTTATGGAACTGGTACAGTAAAGTCCTGGTGTCGGTGCAGGTGGTACCAGTAAAGTCCTGGTGTCAGTGCAGGTGGTACCAGTCGAGCCCTGGCAAAAGTGCAGCTTCTGTCATCTCAAACATTCACAGGAGGGATTTTTCCCACCCCATTCAAAAGCACAAAATGAGATCTTGTTCCAAACCAAGCACGAGCTGGGCAGAGCCCCTGACCCAGGCAGGAAACTCCAGTGCCCTGCAGGGATATCAGCAGTGAGATCACCCAGGAGATCAGCAGTGAGATCACCCAGGATATCAGCAGTGAGATCACCCAGGAGATCAGCAGTGAGATCACCGCAGGATTCCCAGTTCCACTGGGCAGGAGCTGCTGGGATGGCAGCAGTGACAAACTTGGGACAGAGAAGAGCAGGAGGCAGAATTCCAGTAGGGAGACATCTGGGTTAGTGTGTCAACACAGGGCAGGGAATCCAGGCCCAACAAGGTTTCCTTGGTGGCATTTCCCAGGAGAAGTGCAGGGAAGTGGTGCAGTGGCAGGGGAGATCCCAAATCCTCACTGCTCCGAGGACACCACGCTGGATTTCCTGGTTTTGGGGGGTGGAGGGGGAGGTTTGGCCTCACGTCTGCTGGGCAGCGGTGGAGCAACCTGAGGAGATGGAAACACAAAAATCAACCATTGCTGGTGAGTGGAGGGCGTTTTGTTTCACCAAATGAGAAACCCAAAATGTCGTGATGGTTCCTGCAGGAGCAAACCTTTGACTTCGCCCACGTGTGGGCCAAAGGACAGATCCCCAGGAGATACCAGGAGCTGAAATGTTTTAGTTGCTGGAGTATGCCTGAGATAAACTTTAATTGCCTCTGACCTGCAGCCCAACTTCAGCATTTATCCCTCCTTTTGGTGATCAGTAAAATGGCAACAAACCCATCTTTCCAGGTTTTAAAATTCAGGGTTTTTTTTTCTCCTGCTGGCTGGATGAGCTGCCCCAAAAGGATGTAAAATGTGTTCAAATCAGAATGGCAAAACTTAACACCCTAAAATGGAAGTGAGGGCAGTTCTAATGAAACAAGCCACATCCTGCCTGCCTGCAGAGGGGCTTGGAGGGCGTTTTTTGTTCTTGCAGAAAACTGCACTAAGGGGGGGTTTCATGTTGTGTCTGCCTGTTTTGAGGGGCATCCTGTAAATAAATGAGATGGGAAAGGCCAGGAGAGTGAGGAGGTTGTGTGGTTCATCACTCTTCAGCCAAAACTCAACATTTCAGGGTTGTTTTAATCCAAGGAAAACACACCCAACTTTACAACAGCAAACTACCAAAATCCTTCAGAAAATCCTTCCCAATCTCCCTTTGCAGCCCCGTGGATCTTTTCCCTCTGGCCCCCAGCCAAGGGGGATGCTGCAGGCCTGGACGTGGCAGGAAATTTTTCCTTACAAGGCTCAAGGGAAGGAGGCTCTTTGATTAATTCCTCTTGATCCAGTGACTCCCACAGATCCCTGGAGCTGGGATCTCTGCTGGGCACAGCACCACAGCAGCCACAGTCACTTCCAGCTAAATGAAGGGCAAAGAAGAAAAACTTCCTCCTGGTCCCATATTTCAAGGGTTTATTCCAGTGTCACAACACAGCATTATTAAGTGATGAGCTGTTTTCTTGTTTTCCTGTGCTGCTGAAGTAGTTAAGTGTGCTCACTCTTCAAATTCTTCAGTTTAGCTCACTCAGGTAGTCCCAAATCCTCTCTGTGAACTGGACTGGGGAAGAGATCCCTCCCTTTCAATTGCAAAAAGTAATTCCTGATGGGTTTTGGGAGGGCACCATCCCTCTCTCAGTCACAAAAGGATCTTTTCTTGCTTCCCACTGGTAAGGAATTAGTTTGGCATCACCAGCACCTTCATTTCAGGGACAGGTGAAAGGATTCTGACACAATATTTGCATTTGGATTCCAAAGAGCCTGCAGAAACATCAGTGATACAGCACTGACAAAGGGGCAGTTTGATATTCCTGCAAGAAAATCACTCCATGGAACTGACACAAAGGGCAGGAGTTAAATACAGCCTTTTTAAAGTCACTGATGGCTTGAAAAATCAGATTCTGCCCAGCTGAAGCTTAGGAGGAGACACTGGAGACCTCTGAAAATTGTGGTTTTCTCCCCACTTCTTTTTCAACCCAAATTATTTCACTATTTTAGGCTAATCATGTTTTTGAAACTTTTGCTGCTGGTGTGTTTTCTGTATCTCTTCCCACCCCCACACACTTTTTTCCTGACCAAGGACAACACAACTCCCACTTGGAAAAAAAAAATAATAATAGAGGCACTGCACTCCAATGTCCTCTCCTGAAGCAAAAAAAAAATTTCCCATTTTTTCCTTATTTTGTGCTTTCAGGGAGTGAAGCAGTGAAATGATGAGACAGGTTTCAAGCAGCACCACCCTAAGAAGAGTTTGGAAAATTCCACTGGTGCCTCCTGCCCCAAAGCTGCTCTCCAAAAAGCTGTCAGCTCCCATTTCCTCACCTCCACGGAGTTCCTGGGGGTGCTGCTCTCGTAGGGTTTGTTTTTGGGTGGAGGAGGAGGTGGCGTGGGCAATCCATCAGCCTGCAAGGAGGGGGAGCCTGGAAACAACAGCAATGAGAGAAGAAATAATAAAATATAAGGGGAAAAAAGAGCTAATAAGGAGAAAAACAAAACAAAACAAAAAAACTAGCAAATAAGGAGGAAAAAAAAACCCCAACCAAATAAGAAAGGTGAAAAAGAGATGGGAAATGGGGTTGCACACAGATTTTTAGGGAGATTCATTAAATTCCCCATGGTTGTCATGGATGTGCTGGGTCCCAGCTGTCTCCCTGCAATGCCCTGAGGAGTTTCCCCTACCCCAAATGGCTCTGAGAGCAGCAATCTGCTTCCATCAGCACATCTGGAGTGTTCCTCAGAACTCACTTTGATTTTAACTCCAGCTGATGGAGGAGATAAAACCCAAACCTCACAAGGATTCCAGCAATTAAACCCTTGCTAAGGAGAAGAGAGAGGTTTTACATTCCTTTCACACACCTTTCTTCACCGAGGTCCTGAATTTGTTTCTGGTTGTCTCCCCAACTCATCCCCTGCCCTGGTAAGGATATTTTTTTTTTTTTTTTATCCTCTCACAATATTTTTATGCTGGTTTAGATCATTATCTGCACTGGATTCTGTCTTGATGCCCACATAAAGGCAGCCAAGTCCTACCCAGGAACTTCTGTTCCTTTCAAAAAAGAACAGCAGACAGAAAAATGCAGCAGCCAGGGAGTTCTAGGGGTGGAACTGCCCAGGGATTTTTATTTTTACCTTAAGCCACATTTAAATATGCTGCAGAATTAACTACAAAACTTCCTGAATATACAAGAAAGGGCCTTTCCCCCCCCCACTCTTTTCCGGGATCAGATTACTGCGCTGTTTTACATTCAGCATGTTTTTGAAACCTTTGAAATTACTCGTTTTGTTAATTCTTGAAGATAAATTCCATCTCCTTCAGGTTGAACATTTACAGCTGAATGTCCAAGCTGCACAGCAAGCTCTCCTAGAACTCTGTGCCATGTGATGGGAGGTATTGCTCATTAATTAACAGAACCCTCAGGGCTCGCATTGATAATTCAGGCACAGAGCTGATCACAACCACCACGGGATCCCTGCAGTGCCCTCCTGGGGATCCACTGGAGGTGCTCCTGCAGACCTGACCTGGTGATATCTACACTGACTGCACGTGCTGTTCTCCTCAGGGTTTAATAAACCTGCCCAAAATTCAGAGTCATGGGACAGCTGGGGTTGGAAAGGACCTTAAATCCCACCCAGTGCCACCCCTGCCATGGCAGGGACACCTCCCACTGTCCCTGGTGCTCCAGCCTGGCTCTGGATGCTCCCAGGGATCCACAGCTTCTCTGGGAATTCCATCTAGGCCCTGCCCACCCTCACAGGGAGGAATTTCTGCCCAAAATCCCATCTAACCCTGCCCTCCCACAGTTTAAAACTGATCCCCTGTCCCATCACTCCACACCCCTGTGAAAAGTCTCTCCCCATCCTTCTTGTCCAGGTCAATACAGGAGAAAACAAGAAAAAGAAAGGAACTGAGAAACCCAGAAACTGTTCCCTGGAATCCCAGTGATGCACTGCTTCAACAAGTGACGTGCAAGCCACAGATGTGATCTTTGATGGCACAGCCAAATCCTGTTATCTGACAAAAATGATAACCTCTGTTTTCCTGGGATACAGAGGCAGTGGACACCTGGAATTCACTGGGGGTAACTAATCCAGCAGCTGGGGCTCAGTTCCCACTCTTTGTGCTCTACACCCCGTCTGAAAATGGAACAACACTGACCTCCAGGAGCATTTTACATGCACTTCCATGGAGTAAATTTGATTTTTGAGATTTCCAACAGGCCCCAGCTGCTCCCTCCCTCTTTCCCTCCCTCCCCAGCGTGTTCCCTCAGCAAACACAGAGTCAGTCCCACCAAACCCCAGCAGCAGGACTTACTCTGGGTCCGGGGGGTTTTGGGGGTGATGGGGGGAGGGCTGCGGGTGCATTGCTGCAGCGAGGAGCCCTGCAGCAGGGTCAGCCTGTTCTCTCCCAGCTGCAGACTCTTGGGCCTCTGTGCCTTCCCTGCCGTGCCCTGCTGGGAACAGAGACACAAAAACCTCCAGGTGAGCACAG